TTCGCAGACTTTTCCTTGATCTTTGACTGAGTATTAATACGCCAAGTTTCGCAGACTTTTCTTTGATCTTTGACTGAGTATTAATACGCCAAGTTTCGCAGACTTTTCCGCGATCTTTGACTGAATATTAATACGCCAAGTTTCGCAGACTTTTCCTTGATCTTTGACTGAGTATTAATACGCCAAGTTTCGCAGACTTTTCCTTGATCTTTGACTGAGTATTAATACATTTGATTTCTCAAACTCTGTAATTATTCATAAACATACATGGTTTTTTAAAATCCTGTTTGATCTTGAAATAATTACAAGCAATTTGATAGATTGTTTAGGCAGAGCACTTCATGATGAAACTTAGTTGAACGAACGGCAGATTTCGGATTAGAGGTGAGTAACCTGTAGCTACCGTTGGTTGAATCTACAGGAAGTCTCTTCACCAATCAGAAACAGGGATAAACCAACCGATCGTAACACGCTCTCCACAATCCACCGAAATACTATAAAGGCTGACTACACCATAGGTACACAGGAAAGAACAAATTAAAGAATCAAAATGTAAAAATTGGTATTAGTTTAATATGTTAAATAAATTAATAAAAGAAAATGAAGGTTGTAAAATAAATACAATAATAAAAATATATAAAATATTAATAAGATCATCTTATGAATATGGAGCGCCATCTTGGAGAAATATGAACGTAGATGATCTGCAGGTGTTTCTGACTGGCAACTGGACTAGATATACCAGTTTTACATTACGTAATGTCTATGTCGACATTGACGTGTAAATATGAACGTAGATGATCTGCAGGTGTTTCTGACTGGCAACTAGACTAGATATACCAGTTTTACATTACGTAATGTCTATGTCGACATTGACGTGTAAATATGAACGTAGATGATCTGCAGGTGTTTCTGACTGGCAAATAGACTAAATATACCAGTTTTACATTACGTAATGTCTATGTCGACATTGACGTGTAAATATTTTAGAAAAATAAAAATAAAGACGTAAAAGATATAAATATGAAAAGTATAATAATTAGTAAATATAAAATCAAGAAATGTATCACAATATAATGTCACTTAAAACACTGGAAATGAAAGCTTCTAATAAAGTTTTTAAATTAGTTTTTATGAGAGATATGTTTAATTTATTATTTTATCAATATTTTTATTGTATTATATTTTTTAAATTTTAAAAATATTTTAAATTTAAATACATGTATTTATTTTATTGTTTTATATATCTGTATTTTAATTATATATTATTTGAATTATTTAATTGAAGTATTATTATTATTATTATATAGTTCACATTTTAAAGTATAAATTTTAAATTATTATTCAAATTCGATGACGAGGAACCCACT